GTCCAGCATGTCGGATCACAGCCTACAGGACCTAGAAGTTTGGCATGTCATGACTCTGCCTATACAGGACTTAGAGGTCTAGCATGTCATATCAGCATGCAGGACCTACAGGTCACATCCCTCTACATAAACTGTTCTTTGATTTTGTCATAACATCATTGATTTGTCAGGAATCCCCTTCCAGTAGTTTGTATCACATTTGTACTACATAGGTGATATCACTATTCCTTGTCTTTAAAGTCTGTTGTCAAACTGACAAACTGTTTTTACTGAAACTATATCCAACTGAAAAACTTCATTTAAGAAGTTGTGAACTTCACATGCCTTGTCTGTCATTGTCAAAACATTGCTCCAGGTATTCTTTGATAGCAAAGCCTGTAAAGGTATCAGTCGATGTGGCCTGCCTGTTGTTCTGTGATGTAACTAGTGACCCTGGCTGCTCATAGAATGACAACCCAGTGAACAAACAAATCAACTCAAACATCACAATGTATCCATCAGTATTCTTTATAAAAGCTTTTCATTTGTGGTGATTTACCATGGTAAAACCCTTCATTTATCATAGTAAAAAAGAAACAGCAGTAAATGTGCCGTCATCGTGATGAATAAAACACAAGAAATCCCAGATAAACAGGCAGCAAGCATTTCCAGAAAATGATCTGATTTTACAAATAAGGTAATAAACAATGCACAAAAAACTCTTATCCCCCTAGATAATCATATTTATGTCATTAGAAAACAAAAATTTTACAATTAGTCAAATTGATCTTGCATCAAAACAAGTTCTTTGCCTATTTGAAATGCGTGGACATAAGGCAAAAAGAAACAATCACTTCACACTTAAGGGTATCATACCCTTATACTGATTTAGTAAGACAGATGTTCAAATTCGTCTGTTACTAAACAAATCAATGTTGAGTGTCTTTAATGGCTATTGAGTTCTTATACGCTCACTGTGAACCAAAACACACAAATTTTGCTCCAAAAACATGTTTATCAATTACAGGAAACAAGTGTATTTAGACAGACTGGTTGTACATTTGATCTTGTGAGTCAAGGACAGTCTTTAGATATGGTATGCTACTTGATCAGATCAATACAAGGTTAATATTCTCAACATGAAAATCTCACACTCAAATACAAAGGTAGACGTGCAAATATTGACATCTACCTGAGACATGCATTTGCATTAAGTGTCAACACAGGTAAATACACCTGCCTTTTCAACAAATTACAAAGTGTCAACACAGTAAATCCACCTGCCGCCTCAACAAATTGCATTTTTTAATTCTAAATTTCATGGTTTCAACGTTTCTTTCCTTTCCCAAATATCACAAGCCTATAACTCACAGTGTGACAAACTGAACTACTAGTTTAAAGGTCACATATTTACCTCTGCTGAACTGGTCATAATAACATTTAATCTTATTCAGGTGCGATATCCATCTGTTAGTGGTATGTAATCTCTACCTATCAGAGGTGTGCGGTATTTACCTGTTAGAATTGTCTAATCTCTATAACGGTTAACGGTATGCAGATTCTATTTGTTACAGGTACACAATTGCTACCTGGTAGAGGGCTGTTATCTCTACTTGTTGCATATAGCCTATACCTGACACTGGTGTGCAGTCTCTACTGGTATTAGATGTGTAAAAGTCCCTAGATATTAAATGTGTAAAATATGCACCTGCTAGAGGTATAGCTTTTACCTCTCAGAGGTGTTTAGTCTCTACCTATATCAGAGGTGTGTAGCCTTCACCTGTCAAAGGTAGGTAATCTCTATCTGTAAACATATGTAATCTCCATTTGTAAACATATGTAATCTCCATCTGTCAAAGGTGTGTGATCTCTATCTTTCAAAGGTGTGTAATCTCTACCTGTTAGATGTGTATCAATCTTTACCTGTTAGAGGTGTGTGATATATACCTGTTGTACATGTGTAGATTCTACCTGTTGTATTGTATGGATTCTACCTGTTGTACATGTGTAGATTCTACCTGTTAAATTGTGTAGATTCTACCTGTTGAATTGTATAGATTCTACCTGTTACAGGTGTGTATATTCTACCTGTTAGAGGTATGTAGATTCTACCTGTTAGAGGTGTGTAGATTCTATCAATTAGATGTGTGAAGATTCTACCTGTTAGAGGTGTGTTGATTCTATCTGTTAGAGGTGTGTATATTCTACCTGTTAGAGGTATGTAGATTCTACCTGTTAGAGGTGTGTAGATTCTATCAATTAGATGTGTGAAGATTCTACCTGTTAGAGGTGTGTTGATTCTATCTGTGAGAGGTGTGTAGATTCTATCTGTTAGAGGTGTGTAGATTCTACCAGTCAGAGGTGTGTAGATTCTATCTGTTAGAGGTGTGTAAATTCTACCTGTGAGAGGTATGTATATTCTACCTGTTAGAGGTGTGTAGATTCTACCTGTTAGAGGTATGTAGGTTCTACCTGTTAGGGGTATGTATATTCTACTTGTTAGAGGTGTGTAGATTCTACCAGTTAGAAGTGTGTAGATTCTACCTGTTAGAGGTGTGTAGATTCTACCAGTCAGAGGTGTGTAGATTCTATCTGTTAGAGGTGTGTAGATTCTACCAGTCAGAGGTGTGTAGATTCTATCTGTTAGAGGTGTGTAAATTCTACCTGTGAGAGGTATGTATATTCTACCTGTTAGAGGTGTGTAGATTCTACCTGTTAGAGGTATGTAGGTTCTACCTGTTAGGGGTATGTATATTCTACTTGTTAGAGGTGTGTAGATTCTACCTGTTAGGGGTATGTATATTCTACCAGTTAGAGGTATGTAGGTTCTACCTGTTAGAGGTGTGTAGATTCTGCCTGATAGAGATATGTAGATTCTACCTGTTACAGGTGTGTAGATTTTACCTGTTAGAGGTGTGTATATTCTACCTGTTAGAGGTGTGAAGATTCTACCTGTTAGAGGTATGTATAGTCTACGTGTTAGAGGTGTGAAGATTCTACCTGTTAGAGGTATGTATAGTCTACGTGTCAGAGGTATGTATATTCTACCTGTTAGGAGTATGTATATTCTACCTGTTAGAGGTGTGTAGATTCTACCTTTAAGAGGTGTGTAGATTCTACCTGTTAGAGGTGTGTAGATTCTACCTGTTAGAGGTATGTAGATTCTACCTGTTAGGGGTATGTATATTCTACCTGTTAGAGGTGTGTAGATTCTGCCTGATAGAGATATGTAGATTCTACCTGTTAGAGGTGTGTAGATTCTACCTGTTAGAGGTGTGTAGATTCTACCTGTTTGAGGTATGTAGATTCTACCTGTTAGAGATATGTAGATTCTACCAGATAGAGATGTGTATAGTCTATGTGTTAGAGGTGTGAAGATTCTACCTGTTAGAGGTATGTATAGTCTACGTGTTAGAGGTATGTATATTCTACCTGTTAGAGGTGTGTAGATTCTACCTGTTAGAGGTATGTAGATTCTACCTGTTAGGGGTATGTATATTCTACCTGTTACAGGTGTGTAGATTCTACCTGATATAGGTGTGTATATTCTACCTGTCAGAGGTGTGTAGATTCTACCTGTTAGAGGTGTGTAGATTCTACCTGTTAGAGGTGTGTAGATTCTACCTGTTAGAGGTGTGTAGATTCTACCTGTTAGAGGTGTGTAGATTCTACCTGTTAGAGGTGTGTATATTCTACCTGTTAGAGGTGTGTAGATTCTACCTGTTAGAGGTATGTAGATTCTACCTGTTAGAGGTGTGTATATTCTACCTGTTAGAGGTGTGTAGATTCTACCTGTTAGAGGTGTGTATATTCTACCTGTTACAGGTGTGTATATTCTACCTGTTAGAGGTGTGTAGATTCTACCTGTTAGAGGTGTGTATATTCTACCTGTTAGAGGTGTGTATATTCTACCTGTCAGAGGTGTGTAGATTCTACCTGTTAGAGGTGTGTAGATTCTACCTGTCAGAGGTGTGTAGATTCTACCTGTTAGAGGTGTGTATATTCTACCTGTCAGAGGTGTGTAGATTCTACCTGTTAGAGGTGTGTAGATTCTACCTGTTAGAGGTATGTAGTTTTGATCTTTTTGAGTTATAAGGTCCTCTCTTTGAAGTTAGTTTGGAAAACTATTACTATTATATTCTGATCAGTCTATCAACACAGAGAAGGTCATTAGGTCTAAAAAGGTTGGAGAAAATTCTGCTTGATATTTCTAGCATCACTTTAACCTGTTAGAATGAAACAACTTTTTAATAAATCTTTGAAGATACGTGTCATGTTGAGAGGGTACAGTGTAGTTATATGACCAATAAACATGCATAGTTGTTACCATGAAATGTCTACCAAACAACCTTACAATCTTGTGTTACACTACACTGCTGATACCTTCACTGAATGGGTTCCATATTGATTAATCTGATACTTCCATTAAACCCACTACTGATAAATCTCATTACCAATACTTACACCAGAGTAAATATCATTTAGTTACAGAGAGGTTTATGTTAATGACTTTTTTTACAAATAACGAGTCCTACTTACAGTGTTTTCTAGAACAAAAATCAAAAAGGTATTTATTTGACCAATAAAATCTTTATTAAAACCATCACTTCAATCATACGTCAATACAGCTGATAACTACAGAGTATGGATAATCTCTATACCTACTCTCTACACCAAAACAACTAAATGGTAAAAAAAAATGGTTATAAAGACAACATCTAGAATAACCTCTATCAGTACTAATTTTGAAAGTTTCAAAGCTAACAATTAGGTAAATTACAACTTTACCTGCCAACTTCTGTCTGAACAAATTAACTATCTGCTATTTTGTCACTTTGTATATTACATAACCAAACATTATTTTTGAGTTTTGTGTGAACACAATGAAAACTTAATACCAGTTAAGATATACAACATATATAATGATGTTACCTTGAGTTCAGTATAAACATAGATACCAACCATATTCACGCTTGTATAAAACTTCTCATTCTATCTAAAGCCATTTCTTTTTTACAAACCTTGCTCAATCTGTTGCCCCGCCAATATGGCTCTCTCCAGCATTCTTCGTGCCATGTTGACAGTGTGGTATCCTCTCGGTCTTGTGGCCTCTTTGTTTTGTTGTCAAGATCTCCCTGCTCTGGTGTATCCTAAGTGTCCAGGCTTCTCTTTCTGTGTCAGAAACAAACTAATGTAAGCAAGTCTCATATGCCCTAGCATCAATACTTTAGCTGCTACACTGTCATGTCAGGGTTGCCTAGCTCAATACTGACACAGGTATTATATGGAAAGAAGAAAGTGAAAAATTAATTCAGGATGTCAGATAAGCCAGAATTCATCAATCTGCAAATGGAAAGTTAAGGTGTATTATATATTCATATAGAAGGTACACTGTGGTGATTAATAAGCCTGGCAGAAACCATCACCTCCAATTTAAATGGAACATTGCAAAAGGAAGTGAAGTCATTCAGCATAATGAGGTCTTTCCTGATGAGTATGCTGCTTTCGTGATATTAAAGTGAATGACAGTGACTGATTTCTATTGCTTACCATTCCAACCATTAAGAAAGCTATTCACTTTAATACAAAGACATTTAGAAATCATTACATTCTCTACACACATGCACGTTTTCCATTAAACAGATCATTAAGGTAAACCATTCAATAGACAAATAATTAGACAACTAATGGTCCTTTTCCTGATCAGATTTGTGACATAATGTCCCAATTCACAATATTGTCCAGTAAGGTATTCACAGGGTTTTAGTAGTCACCACAAATTTCCAGCCAGCTGAGAGGCTGCAAGGACAACAGGCATTCATCAACTTTGAAACTGGTAGATTCAATACAAAGTATTTATTCAATGTCTGTTCAGTAGAACCAATCAATTACTGTATTTATCCTGGAAGAAGCCCATGTCTAGAATTATGCCAACTATATCTTCTACAAGTTTATCAGAAATGCCAACAATATATCATTGCCCAGTGTCACCGGTATTGAGAGACAGTAGATGTTTTGGTTACCCTGATTTATTACAGGATAGATATAGTATCTATTTGATTTCACATCTTCAGTGTGTTCATACTACACAGTTTTTCTTTGTATGTTAGGATCACTCCCTATGCATGAGCTATGATAAGACAAAATTCTCTCACTCAGTAATAGGACTGAGGCAATAAAAATAAAATAGAATTTTTATCTATGTCTAATAAAAACAAAATATATATAATTACCACTTCATATAAATCTTTAGCAACTATGAACATACCATTAACCCGTAAGTTAACACACTTTATAACAGTTTGATGCTGATCTTACTATAGATGAGGCCCTTTAAAAGAAATATTGGTAACTTAATTTGTTTAATTAGTTGAAGTATTCATGAACAGTGTTTTTAGGAGTTCAAAGAGAATATCTTTACTGATAATTATAAATATATCTTTCAACACCTCCATAAACTTAATTTATATTCTTTGATATTTTCTCAACAGAATAATTTCATATTAAGAAAGGGGAAACTTGGATTTACATTCTGACGTTGGCCAGTGTGTGATTGAATGGACTAATTTACTATAAATGGCTGCCGTCAGTAAGTGTGATTTATGAGAATCAAACTTCTGTACTTCTCCATTTAACCATGAAATCGAATGGAAAATTTACATGGTATAATATGTAAATGTGCATTTAAATTGTGCATTATTGGCAATCAGGTGATATTTTATCACACAAAGTGAGAGTGTCCTTACAAATCAGGTTTTTATTGCCAAGTACAGACTTACGGTATATATATCCAACAAAATGGATTGATCATTATCAGCTTGTTACACAAACTGATGTTGTCTTTCTGATGAAAACTAGCTTTATTTCTAAAGTTCAGACAAATATCTGAAAGTTGAAAATGGGGTTATTTTGTATTTTAGACTGGACCTTAAAACAGTAAAAAAAATTGTAAATTCATACCTGGTTTTTCATAATCGTTTTTGATATAAAGCAGAACAAAGTAAGGTAGATTTTAGGTTACGTTGATGATGGTAAATCTGTATATATGATTATTTATATTCATTAACAGCTCTCAGTTTGTCACATACAAGTTTCAAGAATCAACCTGACAGTCCTCAAGTTGCTACTACAAAAATTATTGGATTTTGGTCAATAATCAGACATTAGTCATACATGTTCCAGTTCCTTATTATGTATGATGTCGAAAACAGCAAAAATTAACACAAAGGATGTGGGTTTTTTAAAAATAATTACGGTACTTTCTGACATTCTAGTGCTGTACATTCTTGTTCAATTTAAGGTAAAACAAAGACAGTGATAAGTCAATTTGAAGCAACATAACATGTACAATACATAGTATTGATATTCATACAGCTACAGATATTATCAGAATCAGATTGACTCTCCATAACTGTAGTGTGTATGGTACAAGTTGACAAGAATATGTCTGAGAGTTCAGTCATTGTTATAGTATTCTATGGTACCCCATCCTAACTAATACCTCTGTAACATCCGATGGGCCTATGAAGTTTGCCTGCAGACTTCAACAGAAAGTGGATTACAAGAAGTCAATGGACATACATTCTGTGATGACCTCACTTTTAAGCTAACTTCTGGCTGTGTGGACTGATCATCAACACTAATGGAATCTTTTCATTTCTGAATTTATCACAGCTCTTTAATTAAATATGGATATTTCATGTGTAGCTATAACAAAGTATCATGCCTTGGTATCTATTATCATGATAATAAACTTTAGATATAAAACATGCCAGTAACTTGTGAATATGCCAACACTATCTTGATTATCTATACTAATTCCACAAAGTTACAATATATGTATCCTTTAGCTAGTCACTGTTACAGGACACCACTAAGTTTTATTGTCTGTAGATCCACAGTATACAAGAAATGTTTACTGATTTTAAGACACTGTTACAAGGCCTAAATCCACTCTTTGTATCACTGTCGCAGGTGTTTACTGCTTACTGGTGTTATTGTTTTCAAACATGTTTTTCCTTCAGTCATTTGGTGTACAGAATGTAAACATGTTTTTGAAGTTTTATGTCTTTAATTGAGTCATACGCCAGACAAGTCAATATTTGTAGATTTGAACCCACTTGGGGACTAGACATTGCTCAACCACTCGTCGCAAACCAACTGTGACATTCCTTTATGTTTGCAATCAACAATGATCCTCCAAATGTAAAGCACACACCTTCAAAGCAGCTCTCAGATCAACAAAAGTTTATCAACTTTGCCATGTAGTGTGAATTACATCATAAAATTATGCCACCAGTCAAAAGTTCCTGTCAAGTTTTAGTCCTGATCAATTTAGGAAGATGAAAAAGTGTTCCCATAATTAATTTAGACCTGACGTTAACAGCTCAAGAGGCCTCTTCTTATACCAGATAGTAAATATGTGTCACCAGTCTGCTTTTACAATACTATTTTGATATCTGAGAAAGAGTTCCACAACTAAAGGTTAAAGATTAGGCCATTTTATAAATCAGTCCTAAAATTTAACGTCTCTTGTCAAGGGTTCTTATTTATAAGTAATTACCGTGTAAGTATCATCTCTCCATCAAGAGCTAAGAAACATGTAGTCACAGGTAAGAGTGTGACTCATCAACACTTAAACACATCAAAAAAATTGCTACATATAAATCTCTTCTGACTGATTATTAGCAAGATACGGCAAACATGAGCTGTCTCTAGTCGAAGTCCTGGTATAAAACTAATCAAGTCTACTAACTCCAGGTGAAGGGCTGAGTGGGCTAATGGACATATGTTATACACTTGGCTTGTTAGTTCACCAACCCCGATACCTAAAAAGAGAGGTTTTAATATCTGAATGTCTATATATTTTATCTATATACCATTTCAAGACTAACTTTAATTGGTCAACATTTTAAGCTAGGTCACCACTTTATTAGAATTTTTATATTTCACAATTTACAACGGTAATGAAATATAATATATATTGAAATTGGCAACATTTAAAGCTTAATCTGACTTACCTGGGTGGTATATGGCACGCTGTACAGCTACTCAAATTATAAAATTAGTTATAGGTGTATTAGAGTTAATACAGGTGTGTAGAGGGTGTTTGTATCACTATCACAGGTGTGTATACAATCACTCTATGTCAGAACATTTAGATAATCAACAAAAATTATTTCTGCAACTTACAAACATTACAATTGATAGAAATTTCATACTTGGAAATATCACAGGACGTCATGGGTCACTCTATTAAACAGATATAAACACCTTAATAGACCCCTTGTTGTTTGTAAACAAGACATTTCAAAAGAGGCTTAATCAACCATATACTTCTTTACAATTCTATCAGATTAATAATGGTTGAACAATTATTTATCTGAAGGAAAACCAAGCAGTTCATTATGTGTTCAGTTATCCCAATAACACACTTGGACATGTTATAAAGAGTTTGAGTGTTATAAATGTATTTCAATCTTTTATTATCTTTAAAAAGTATTATCAGTGTAATTATATACATGTACATTTCATGCACTAAATATATTTACTTTTAATTTGCCCTAGATCCATAACAAATATTGATCAGTTGAGTTTAAATAAGCAAAGGTGAATAGATTTTTATAAAACTATTTTCATAACATGATAACAAAGTTGTGAATTAAGTATGATTTCAGTGTGACTGTAATATCATGGTAAAGTAGTAATAAAACTTAGTATCAGGTTCAGTTTTCACTTTGATGACAGGTGATTGTTTCACTCTTTTTATTGACTTTGAAAGAAATACTGTCGACAACAACTTTTTGTACTTAACTTGTCTGGAAATCATGTATGTTTTCCCCTGAAAATTAAACTGTTCCCTCTTACTTTTTGCTGCCGGCAATATCGCCGATCTTGAATTTTTTGTGATATTGTCGTCCTGCTTTTCTAATCATGATATATGATAACAGCTCTATCTGACAACCTTTATTTGCCTTTGACCTTGTATAATCATTGCCATGACCTGTCCCCTCTGAACTTCCGTCAGCTGTGCGGTTGTTTAATGCTATCAGAAATTAATCAAAATATCGGAAAATGATGTGTCATTATAAAGATTATCCAATGGTAAGATGAACAGTGTAACTCAATGTCACAACACTGCTGTACACAAGATTTTTCCATTTCGTGCTTTC